TCTCGTCCCACAGCTCAGGGTTGAAGGTCACGGGAACCACAGCTGTCTCCTTCAGGGTAAAGACAACAAAGTCGGCCTGCCTCAGACCTGTCACCGCCAGCTGGCACTGGATCTGAGTGTAGTAGCTGTGAGACGTCTTCAGGCGGTAGACTGGAGACTGGACAGAGAGGACATTAGAGGAGGACACGGGACAGATAATGACTCGGGCCACTCTTCATTTCTTACCTTGCTGTGATTCTGTCCATCTTCATTCTGGAGCTGCAGACAGAATGCGGGGTCGTCCCTGCAGGCGTCCTCCACCCGTCTGTCCCTGTGTTTGAAGGGACACTTCACCTCCAGGCAGAGCAGCCATTGGCCGGTCCGGCTGTCCGTCACAATACCGTCAGGACTCGCAGACAACCAGGGTCGCTGGACATCGATGAACAGACCGCAGTCCTTAACCGAGACCGGCCGGCCCAATGTCGCCGTCTTCAGGGTCTGAGGGACCACATGACCAGTGACATCATCAGTGACCTCATCAGTGACCTCATCATGAAACAAACTTCCTGTTAATTTTTTTCTAAATTCAGCTAAACTTTGAGTTTCTTCATTTTACAAAAACACTTTTTTCCTTTTTATTATAATTAAAATAATTTTCAATAAAAATTATTTAAATAATTATTTTTTTTTTTACTGTTTTTGAAGTTTTGATTTTTCTTAAAACTTTTGCGATGACAATTTAAACTGTAAGTTTCCATCTGGTCTGTATTAAACTGCTGCGTTCAGGTGATCGTTGATGTTTTGGTTCTGACAGAACCCACCTGGTACCGGCGGACTGCCTCGGACTCCATCTGGACCCCCCAGCTCATGGCTCTGGTCTGGACTCTGGGTCCGTCTCCTGTGAAGTCCGACAGGTGAGTTATTTGGTACCTTTGATCAGAACAAATAGGGATGGGGGCGGGGCCTACCTGTAACTGCAGTCAGGTATGACGTGGGCGGAGCTTTACTCTTGCCATTAACGAAGTGGCAGTGGGCAATCCGATGAGCCACAGAGGCTGTGATCCGGTTCTTTCTCCACGTAAACCAGTCTGGGTTGATCCTCTGTCCGCGGGTCAGAACCTCCACCTGCTCCACCAAACACCTGTCCAGGTGAGTGCTCACAACCAGTGGCACCTGCTCCGGTTTGGGTGGCGTTCCATCTCCAGAAGAATTCAGATCTTCGTTCGGTTCTGGTCTCACGGCAGAAATAGCCCCGTTGTTGTCCTGGTTCTCCTGGACCGCATCAGGCTTGGTTCTGATCCGAGGGCGCGGAGCAGCACCAGTTCTTGTCTTGTGGCTGCTGGGTTTGGCTGAAGCGCCGCCTCCTGCAGCCTGGATAGACGGGTGGTACCGGACCTGAGGAAGGATGGGTTTCTGGGTGGCACCGGTCTGTGGAGAGGCCTGGTTGTGGTTCGGTTTCTGCATGTTTGTTTGGACTAAACAGGAACCAGAACACAAACTGGTTCAGTCTGAGGTCAAAGGTCATGAATAAAGACTAAATAACAACTGATCAATGAACTGATAATAATAATAATAAAACAGCTAAAAGAAGGCTCCTAAGTTTAGACCTTAGTTACAGCAGAAATAAGAAAAACTTTGGATAAAAAATATCAAATACTGCTAATTTTACTATTAATACTACTGCTATTAATACTCCTGCTAATGCTAGCAGTGGTGTAGTAGTAACATTTGAGTATTAGTAAAATTAGTACTGCTTTAAACGTTTCGTCTGACTCCTCACCACTTTGAGCTGCGTCACACGCCGGCGAACCGTAAACGAGCGGACTGTTTTCCAGTTAAAGAACCGGATGAAACCGGCAGCTGAGCGCCAGACTCCTTAGATGAAACGCTCGTTTTATGATGTGTTCATCAGCGCAGCTGGATTCACAACTTTCACTGACTTTTTAACGTCACGTTTTAAAGTCAAAGCCTTGCTCGTCTTTTCGGCTTTGGTCTTAACAAGACATCCGGTCGCTTTATTTGCTAAAGATTAGTTTATTTTAAATTCTGCTCTTCCTCTTTATGAGCCAAACAGACTATTTTGGAGGTTTTGTTCAAACTAAACAGAAGTACAGAAGGCTGAATAAAGCCGAACATTGATAATCGATCAGATTAAATCATCTCTGAGTTGTGTCAAACGTCAGAATCACAGATTACAGAAGAAATGTTAAAAAGTTACATGATGTCAGAGCTGCTGAAGAAAGAACCGCTCGGGTTTTAAGTGTTTCAGCTTTATCAATCAACCTTTATTTCTACAGGTAAATCCCATTGAGCCTCGAGGACTCATTTACAAGAGAGACCTGATTTCAACAAAGAAAGATGACATCAATGGACGACAGCAACAACAATTTTAAATAGTCCGAGGTGATTTATCTACCTGCCAGGTGAGTTTAGCGAGAGTCTGAGCGGAACTTACCCGAACCTGGAGCCTTTTCTGTGGCTTGAATGGATGTGGCAGGCAGAGCTGACGTGAGAGAGATGCTGACGCATCGAGGCGTGACACGGTGGATTGCCCGGACTAGTCCCGGACCCGCACGGCTTCAGTCCCAAAACTTGTTTGTGACGACAATAGATCGAATCCAAACAGGAACGCTTTTCTTTTTGAGACTCTTCATTTAAATATAATTGGCTCTTCATTATATTAAGTCAGGATGGCCGAGCGGTCTAAGGCGCTGCGTTCAGGTCGCAGTCTCCCCTGGAGGCGTGGGTTCGAATCCCACTTCTGACAACGTGTTTTTTTTTTTTTAAATATATTTTAAACTGTCTTTTGAAGGATTAATTATAAACGCAACATTATTTTTTTTTTATGTGTTTCTGAAACACTTTACAATTGAAACAGAAAAATACAAATAAACAGACATGTAAACATTTGTGTGTGAAGTGTTTTTGTTTTTAAATTCAGTTTATTTCTAAAGCTCCAAGTCACAACAGAATCGTCTCAGGGCCTGAACAGAAACATTCATGTATAAAATAATAATTAACATTATTTATGTGAGGAGCAGCTTTGAGTTTAACTCCATCACTGAACTCTCATCTTGAACAAGCATGAAGGCGACAGTGGAAAGAAAAACTCCCTCCTGAGGAAGAAACCTTTAGCAGAACCAGGATCAGGACAAGAGGACCATCTGCTTCGACCGGCTGGGTTTGGTAAGAACAGATACACAATGGCAGGTCAAGAATCACATATTAAAATAGAAATAGTATCAAATGAAAACTATTCAATTTTAACAATTTATTTAAGGAAATGAGGTCAGTTTGTCCTCCAGTAGTCTAATCCTATAGCAGCATGACAAGCCGACCCTAACTATAGGATTTATCAAAAAGGAAAGTCTTAAAACTGGACAATGTGTCAGCCTCACGGACAGAAACTGGAAGTTGGTTCCACAAGAGAGGAGCCTGAGAACTGGAAGATCTTCCTCCCGTTCTGCTCTTGGAAATTTTAATCCATATAAAGGAATCCTCATCCACTACAGGTTTTACCTTCATGAACATTCCTTTATAGTTTTCTAAAAGTTGATGTTTGGAATTAGGAGTTTGCGTTCAGGAACAACGAACAAACAAACAAACAAAACGATAAATAAGCAAACATAAATCAGTTATATAAAAATATACAAAGAGATCAAGTCCACAGAAGTCTTGTAAACTGGATCAATGTTCAAATTACAGAAGATGCTGTGCCTGATGCATTCTGGGTAATCAAAGGTCTGGTTCTGCAGTCCACTGTGCGGGTCTCCATCTCACTGATCTGGACTCAGCAGTCCTGACCAGCAGGAACGTCACGCTCGTCGCCAGCGGACAGCAGGATATCCTGCAGGTCCCTCATGTCCCAGTCCAGGATCAACCCCGCGTCTCTACTTCGACCAGGCACAGAATCCAGCAGAACCGAACAGGAACCACCCCGGTCCACTGCAGTGCTAGCAGGAGCCACTCACCTAGTCTTGACTCAGAATACCTGATGAGGTACAACCACACGTCTTGGGTTCAGGCCTAGTCGTGGGTCTAACCCAGAGCAGGTGTCAATGGTTCTGGTCTCTGTTGGTTCTGGTCCATGTCTTTACAGGTGCATCAGCTTATGATCTGGTACTGGTGTGCCAGATGTTTATCCGACCCAGTGTTGGGTTCTGGAGGCAGCTGATGGAACATGAGAGGACGGAGAGGGGTCTGAAAGGTCTCCCTGAGGTTCTGCAGGTCCCGGAGGACCCGGATGCTGCGAGGTGATGGGCCAACATGAAACCGGGTCGCACCCAGGTGTGGTCCAACGCAACCCGGTCCAAATAAAAACAGCAGCTGTTTCTCTTTAATAACTTAGAGCTGAGCTCAGAAACGTTCCTTGTGCTCGAGCTGCGCTCATTGATCGATTGATCAGACCCAATCAATCAACCTTCTTGATCTTTGCTGAAGAGAAAACCCGACACAGAGGAGTAAAAAAAAACATTTTATTGACGACAGGACAGAAGGAATAATCAATAATCAGTACTGGAAGCTCCTCTTGGTCTGGATGTCATCCAGAATCTGCTGCAGCTCCTCGTCTTCAAACCGACCCTCCAAACTGAAAACACAGATTCAAACTCAACTTTATTTAAAACAACACAAACGGACACAATCGCTGTGTGAGCCATGCTCTTAATTTGAAGAGCATCTATTGGCTTTATTTTGAAACTCCAGGATAGAACCTCTTCCTGTTTGTTCTGACTCCCGATGACTCCGACTGAATTTAAAACAGAAGGCAATCAGCACTTCGGGCAGAAACACAGAGTAAAAAGTAAGACTCAAACAAACCGTCTGTGTTAAAACTATAAGAAGCCCCAGGTTCACAGAGACAGGTGGTTCTGTTGGACCAGAGACAGGTGGTTCTGTTGGACCAG